GGCACATTTAACAAGAGTGGCTCCTGTTAACACTATGAAGGAAGCCTCAGAGTTGACCAAGCTTGCCCCAGGCCCACCTATCACACCAAAGTGATTTATGTTATCACCTGTAGTAGGTTTTATTCCTCGGGTAGAACTCAGATCATTTTTCAAACTTTCAGACTGAGGAAGACCGCAAGAATGTTCTCAGGCTGCAGGATTTGGTGGATAAATTACAGGCGAAGGTGAAATCATACAAGAGACAAGCTGAGGAAGCTGTAAGTACCTTTAAACCCTACAAGGAAGAAGAAATTTCCTAGGGGTAGAAAGTATGTTAAGATAATGAGAAAGGAGATAAGGTAAGAATTTAGCACTTTTATTTTAAAAGAGAATTTTATAGATATGCATTTACCAAAAATCCTATTTAGAGAGTAAGACTTTAAAAGGAGAATTTTTTAAAGTAATTTGTAATAGTTGGGTGAAGGTTCAAATAACCCACCTTACTTCTTGATAGCTGCAAAGAAGGTACATTAGAAAATCTAATTAACACCATATTAAATACTCCTCTCCCACTAGAAATGCACAAAATCAAGTATCCTCAAAAACCAAACATAAATCTTTTATCCCAACTGACTCACTCACTACCAGCATCATCAGCAGGGGCTCTTCTCTCTGTTTGCTGTAGCACATGCAGATTCTCCTTCCTCACCTCTCCCCATTCTTTCAAGACACAATGTGGAAGGGAGCGTGCAAGGAGGAAATAAAGGGAGAGGCACATAAGGCAGTAAAGGGAACCAACAGAGATGTACCTTCTGCTAGTCCTGCTTTTCCCTTGCTTTGGATCTGCCAGAGTCAAAAATAAATGACAAAACATTTTAAAGTGGGATTTCCCCCAAGTTACAATTTGGCCTTAACATGTACTTACAAAACCCTTATCAGGGCACATGCATCTCTTCCTCCTTTCTACCCAGTCCATACATCATAAATGGACTTCACGTGTATAGGGATTTGACATAATGAGGTTGTCTCTTCCATTTCAAGACCGTTTCTTCTTTCATTTTTTCAAATGAAGTATGTGATTAGAGTTACAAGTTGTATCCAGTTTTGAAATCAGACATGACAAACAGACCGCAGTATTTGAGTTGAGGAAATAATCCTGTTTGGCGACATAAGCAATGAAAAATCACAAAGGCTAATTCTCACTACTTCACCATTCTCAGGAGGAACAATCCAATGCTAATCTCGCTAAATTCCGCAAGCTCCAGCACGAGCTGGAGGAGGCTGAGGAACGGGCTGACATTGCCGAGTCCCAGGTCAACAAGCTGCGGGTGAAGAGCCGGGAGGTTCACACGAAAGTATTGAGTGAAGAGTAATTCATCCTAATGCCAAAAAAGTGACCAAAGAAATGCACAAAATGTGCTATTTTGGGTCACTTGCTGTATTTTTCTCTTAACAATGAGTAAATAAAAACTACAGTAAACTTACAAACTAAGTCAGGCTATCATGTGTTCATTTGCAAAATTATTTATTCTCAAATACAGTTACCTAGCTATTTTTTTAATATTATATGTGGTTTTGCAGAGCATTTTGAACGTACTTCACCACTTAGCATCCCCTGTCTCACCCACCCCAGTATAAGCACCCACAAATATCTCGTGCTAGACTTGATTTTATTAAACCTCTGTAGATTATTACAAATTAATAAGAAAAACATCCCTTGAGGCTGGCTGGCAGGAGGACCATCTATACACTTCACTGTTATTGAGCATCTGCTGTGTGCTGGTCTCTGTTCTGTGGGTAGAGCAGGGAATAAAGCTGAGAACTCCTGCCTTCTGGAAACCTGTCTACTATAAGGAGAGAAGGGAAATCAACAAGTGATGCAGGTCCTTCACTGTCAGATGATAGGTGATAATGGGAAATAACAAAGTAGGGGGGCAGCTAGTATTCTGGGGAGCATAGTTGAGGAAAGAAGCCTCTTTACTAAGAAGACATGTGAGCTTTTTCACATACGGTCTTTAAGGGCAAGTGTAGATGTAATATAGTTTCAGTTTGCTTTCCTGCTTCTCATTTAATAGCTGTGTATTTGGCAAGTTATCTCATTTCTCTAAATATCACTTTTCTTATCTGTAAAACAGAGATAGCATCTACCTTACCATGTTGCTGTAAGAACTGCATTAGATTTTTTTAAAAGAAGACAAATTGCAACATGGATGGAGCTGGAAGGGATCATGCTTAGGGAAACAAGCCAGAAAGAAAAAGAAAAATACCGGCTGGACTCACTCATAGCAGAAATCTAGAAAACCTCAATAAGGGACCAGGAAAAAACCTAATTATAATAAAGAAAAAAGCAAAATCAACAAGCAACTATAAACCAGAGACACACTATGGCGGGGGGGGGGGGGAGAGTAGGATCAAAACAAGGGGGGTGGGAATTGTATGGGGACTATAACCAAGATGAAAATGCATACATTGTGCGAAAATGAAAAATGATGTAAAAAATGTATAAAATAAATAAATAGGGCCTCCCCAGTGGCGCAGCGGTTGAGCACTGGGCTGCAGCCTCTGCAGCCTCTGCAGCGCTGCCGGTTGGATCCCCGGCCACCAGCGAGGGTCCCACATGGTGTGCAGACCTCTCTTGCCGTGCCCGCTGCTCCCCTCACCAGTGTATTTCATCAGTCTGCCTGCTCTGCTCCCCGCTCTGGCTCTGGTGAATTCTCTCACCCTCCCGTACTTCTGACTGTACCCAGCGCTTGTATAAATAAATGAATAAATCTTAAAAAAAAAAAAAAGAATAAATAAATAAATAAAAATGCAACAACAACAAAAAAGAAAGTTTTGGTGGAGTATAATGAACATGAGGAGTTTGGTCTCTAGGTGGAAAGGAGGGAGAACAAAAGTGCAATCTAGAAAAGGCTTGTATTGTATGCATGCCTGTCCCTCTTTGAATTTCTAGCATCTACCCCCCCAACTTTTCCAATCAGCTGTAACTCCATAAAGCTGTTTAAAATTTTTCACTGGAGGAGTACAATGATAGTACTTTGGAAAAATAATGATTAGAATACTGTACTGTCGACTTTAAAGTCAGGGCTATAATTTATTAATTACATTAAGTCTATCATTCTAGGGAGAACTGACATATTTATTATGTTGATTCTTGCAAATCATGAATTTAGTTGTCTTTCCATTGATTTATATTTTCTTTGATTTCTTTCATTAGTGTTTTGTCATTTTCTGCATACAAGTCCTGTGCATGTTTTGCTAGACTGTATAGGATGGAAGACTATGTAACTAATAAAAAACTAAATGCCATGAGAAAATTTTCATAATATGTTCAGTTTTAAAAGCAGGACACAGAACTGCTTACAAGCTGATATCCCAACTGTATATGTGGGGAAAAGTGAGGTGAAAGGTGTGAAAGGTTTGAAACCAACCTTTAAATAGGGATTACCTCTATGGCTAAAATTTTAGGAGTAACTTCAAATTCTCTTTCAATGATTCTATTTTTCAGTCTTTCTACAATGTGTATATTACCACTTGAATTTTTTAAAGACCACTTTTAAAAAAAAATTTAAAAGTAGCCTTCTTCATAAGAAGATTTCATATCCACTTTTCATCAAAAGCTTGGATGTAACTGACAACAGAAAGGAGAAAAAGAGAGGGTCATTTGGTGGGTGATATCATTAGACAGCTGCTAAAAGCTGCAACCTTTCATCCAAGCTTTCGGTAAGGATTAACATTCCAGAGCTCACACAGCAGCTGTCAGTGAGCAAACTTAAATTCTGCCTCCTGGCTGTGGCAGGGTTTTGGGCACATGTTACACATACCAGTGTCCCCAGGCACCTTCAGGGCAGACTTCTTCGGTCACATTTTCCTAAGTGGGAAGCAGAAGAATCAGCTGTGGGCAGATGGAAAGAACCTTACTTTAAGGATGGAATTTACCAGCCTGATTCCTCCCCTGCTGGCTCCAAGGACCACTGCTTCAGGAGGTCACAAGGAAAAAGTCTCTTAGGTGATGAAGAAGAAAAATACTCTTCTTGGGGAACGCACCCCAAACACGGTTCTTCTTAGATTACAGTAGCGTGATAGCCTGACCTTCACAAGAGAGCAGACTGTTTTCTCAGCGCCTCACAGAAATGCTGCCTCCTGGTTGTCTCTTCAGAGAACTAGTCATTGCCAGGGCTCCTAGCAGAAAATTTGTAAAAAGCGTAGATGGGAAAGGTGGTATCTTCCGAGCAACAGAATCCTACCTTTTTTCAGTATTCTGAAAAATAACTTAATTGATAGTCACAGACCTTGGTACCCAAATTGGATGTCACATGATACATTACCTAAGTACAGGTAGCCCATGCTTTTTGGAAGTTCACGTTATATCATTTCTCTTTCATGAAGACCTACATTAGAACCTGTTTTTGTTTTCCTAAAGAATTCCAAGGTGGATTTTGGCTTTTTCCTAAAAAGAGGAATGCAGGAAAATCGCATTCTGCATTGATTCAGTAAGAGCCCGTGGATGCCGCGCACGCCCCAGAAAGCATGGCCGCAGGGCGAGCTCCCTCCTGGACTCCCTTCTCCAGGCTGATGCGCTCCTCTTTGTACCGTATGTTAGTGTTATTCTAGGTTTTGTGTGTTCTTTGGCAGGATCTGGAAGGCTAGTTTTTGAGTCTGGGGCTGCTCAAAAAATTTTCCAAATAAATAAGTGCTTCTTCACGCCATTTCTGCTCACCACAGTTTGTGTGGGAACAAGCAACTTTTGGCTGGGGGAGGGGCTGTTTATGTACATGCAACACAATAACCTACCCCTGCAGGCCCTCAAGCACTTCAAGAAATATTGACTAAGGTTTTTTTAAAAACTTCCTTCAGACCTAGTCAAGTTAAGGGCCTGCTTTCAAATTTCTCCCCCATGCCCACCACACTGTCTAACGCTGTTACTCCCCGTAGTAGCTGGATGCAAATAAATGGAGGGGACACGCCGGGTCCTCCTCACTCACACACTGTCCAATGTACACAGACCCGCCAAGCCCTACCTTCGCCTTAGGTACATCCTGACACGGGCAGAGGCGCTCGCTGCTTTTCCTCACCCGGGCTCCTCCCGTGATGCCCTGGGGCACACCGGAAGTGACCCCTCCCCTGTTCAGCAATTGAAACCTTTGAAATCCACCTGCGCTTTTTTCCTGTGTTATCAGTGCTGTGATCTTACCCACCTAACTACAAGTAGGTCTTTTTCTCTCCTGTACCTGGAACAAGGTTTTTGCACCAAAAATCTTTTTTGACAGAATGAAACAAAACTGAGTAGAAAAAAGGACATATAATACTGTTAACCTGAGCATAAAATAGAGAATAAACTTGCCTCTGTAATAGCTAACATTTAAAAACCCAAGATCTTCCTGGTCCCTTATTTAGGTTTTCTAGATTCCTGCTATGAGTGAGACCATCCGGTACTTTTCTTTTTCTTTCTGGCTTATTTTGCTGAGCATGATCCCTTCCAACTCCATTCATGTTGCTGCAAATTGCATGAGTTTATCTTTTTTGAATGCTGAGTAATATTCCATGGTGTATATGTACCACATCTTCTTGATCCAGTCATCTGTTTTTGGGCATTTGGGTTGTTTCCATAGCTTAGCTATTGTAAATAGTGCTGCTATAAACATAGGGGTGCAAGTGCCCTTTTGAGTTAATGTTTCTGTGTCCTCTGGGTAAATACCTGGAGTGGAGTTGCTGGATCATATGGAAGTGCTATCTTTAGTAGGTCAAGAAATCTCCACGCAGCTTTCCAAAGATTAATTGCAATAAAGTAAAAATCAAAATCAACAAGCAACTATAGACCAGACACACTACAGTGGGGGGCGGGGGGAGGAGAAGAGGGATTAGGGTCAGAAAAAGGGGGTGGGAATTATATGGGGAATATAACCAAAATGAAAATGCATACATTATGCAAAAATGAAAAATGATGTAAGAATTATATAAAATAAAATAATTCATTAAAAAACCCAAGATCTTGCCTTAGATTACAAGTTTCTGAACCATCTGCCTCCTGGTCCCCTTAGCCACTCCATGCCCTACTGCTCTTACCCTCACCACTTTCACGCACCCCTCCCCCCACCCCTTCTGGACATTTTAGGCATCACATTTAGCCATATTCACCTCCCAGTGCCTTTGCACCAGTTTCATCTGCCTGGACTACTACCCTGCGACCCCATGGCATCTCATAGCCTGCTCTTTTACTTTACTATGTGTCTTGTCAAATACCACATCTTCACAAAAACCTTCCCTGATTCATCTATGTAGACAGCACAATCAGAATTTCCTTAGCCTGCTCGTTCTTTCCTTCAGAGCAGTCCTCATTGACATTAGCTATCTGTTTGTTATATGTCCCCACACACACTAGCATATAATTTCCATGCAAGCAGAGACTTTGCCTATTTTATTTCCAGTACTTAAAACCTCCTTAACACACAATAGGCCCTTAATGAACACTTGAATAAAACACTGGAGGGCTGTGTGCTCACTATGTTGTTAGCTTTGTACTTTACAGCTTCAAAATTATTGATGCCAGGTGTGAGTTTCGTCATCACCAGGTAGAGCAAGTGAACTTATGTGGGTATTTCCAGGACTATCCTGATTTTAAAACAGGAAATTTCAAATATCTCTTCAAACCCAGGCAAACTAGAATGTTTGGTCACCTCACATCCCAGTATCCAGGCTCCACCTTCCTTGATTTGTTTTACTATTGTGTATGCTTGGCGGGGATGAGGTGTGGACTTAAGATTGCCTGGAATTTCTGACCAAGAAATTGGTCTATGCAGTGGGCAGGATGGGACAATTGGAGGGACAACAGTCCATCAGGCTGTGATCAGCTCACAGGCCTCACCATACAGCAATATCAGACATGAAATAACAACATCGAAGATTTTACCCTGGCTTCCAGAACCTCTGGCACTGGCAGTGTTGGTGCTTTCTCTAGAGAAAATTGTTTTCTAAATCTCAGGCTCTCCTGTGGACATGGTCCCACCACCCTCCCTTTTCCCAAACCATCATGTCACTTCCAGATAGTACACTGCCATGTGTTTATTAACTCAAATGTCATACAAGCCCCTTGAGCCTTGAGCTAGGAATTATTATTATTATCCCCATTTGACAGATGAAGGAAATGAGACTCAGAAAAGTTGACTAACTTCCCCAAATTCGCCTAGTGTAAGTGGTAAAGTCAAGGATTGAACCTCAGCACTCTGATTCTTTGGGTGCATTCTTAGTAACTATATCATCATGCAGATTTTAACAATATAAATACATGTGTTGGTGATTTCCAGCAAAGGAGAGTTCTTATAAAGCTACATCATTTAAAACCTCAGTTATAGCAGTTAAAAGTAATTGGCCATACTTTTCTTAGTTCTAATGTGATTTTTAAACAACTGGAATAACCAAAACACAAATAATTGATAAATAAAGTGCAAGTAACAGGAGACCCTGAATCTCAGGCATGAGTCAAGGTTATGAGGTCAGACAGGGAAGTGTCCAGTTTACTAAGCAGAGCTAGTGGGTAGGATTTCTTCACCAAACATAATGTTCTCAGGTCACCCATGTCATCTCTCCATGTCATTTTCAGAGAAGGAGACCTGGTTTGTGTGTCATTATGAGAAGCGTGTATAATTCTGAGAGCATTAGTGTCTTACAGGATCTTGCAAAGCCAGATGCAGCTGTCTTGTAGTGAAAAGACAAACCGGACTTGGAGTCAAAGATGTTTATTCTAGCTCCTGCTCTGCCTCTTAGTAGTCATGTAAGTGAAGGTCACTGAACCTTGCTGAGCCTCAGTTTTCACGCATAGAAAAATGACAAAACTGTTGAAATTCAAGGAGAATCAATATAAATAATTCTCTTGATAACCCCTATCAACTTTTTGCTTGCAAAATTTTAGTGCATAAATTCCAGGAATGTATGTGCTATGTCTGAAAGTGTTCTTAATTAGTTCTCTTGGGTTTGAGAGTAGAATGAGAAGGGTCTGTCTCTATCTTTAGCAAGAATTAGGTTGCCTGTTCAGAAGCTCAATTTCTGATTCTGTAAGATTAGGTTAGATTAGCTCCTTTTTGAGTTCACCTCTTGATCTGGAAACACTTATATCTTTAAATAGGTCATTCAAATATGAATTCATGTCATTCCCTAATGGACCTGTCCTATGACTTCCACCCAGAAATTTCTCTTCTTAGTTGGAGAACTTTTTGCTTTTTTTGAATTTTCAGCTCTTACATAAGCTCTGAGATAGGTGAGAGGGGTAAGATCTGATCCACAATCAGCACAATTAATTGCCCTTTCTTCTCAAGTAGCCCTCTGAGGAATGACCTTGACCACACTGTGTCTTAGTCCTCTCTCCTTGGCTGTGCTACTGCCTTCTCCTTCCTGCACCATCCAAATCTACATTTCCACTGAAAGCATCGTATAACCTGATTGGTGGAGGAAAATCAGGAAAACTTTTTCATCCTCCTTAACACCTGCTCACTCCTTAATCCCTTGCCTTCAAATCTTCCACCCCACTGTCCTGCTGACATTATCAGAATCACCTCCCTGACCAATCCAATGCCCTTTTCACAGTCTTATTTTTCGCCAGCTTCTCTGTACCAGTCATTGTATCATATCTCTCAAAAACTTCACCCCACTTGACTTCTTTGAACACTTCACTTTATGATTGACAAAATGATTTTTTAACAAGATTGGAGAAAACCCTCATTCATGGACTTCCTCTAGGGTTTGAGAGAAATGGAATGACAGTGAAGGGTATGAGTTAAGGACCAATGGGGTTATGACGGGACAAAGGCTCCCCTAAGGGCATATGTGAGTAAAAATAGATGGTGCCAAACTTTCTAAGGATGAAAGTGGTCTCTTTACCTGAAGACATGTATTATGTTGAGCAGGAATGCATGTCTGAGGCAGAGATAAATGACTCTTATAACAGATGGAAGAGATGCCTAAGGAAAAAAGGGAAATGAACCGTGTCAGTGTGAAGGAAAACAGAATTTATAAAACCAACATTTCTGGTAGAAACTTTGAATATTTGACTCTAGGCTATGTAATAGATTGCTCTTCTGAATATCCTGTACAAAACCTTCAGCAAAGTTCACATTCTCATCTGTGTTTGTGGTGCTAATGAGTTATTTGCTGAGGTTTGTGTCAAGGTTGACGTAGATCAAAACATAGTATTTGCCACAGACTGAAAATAGACCAAATGCAAAGACTGCCACATCTAGAAGATGCAGACAGTAATTCATTTGATCGCCACATGATCCTCATGACTGGGCAAAAACAGAATTATTTTTGTGCTTTTGCAGCTGAAAGGAAATACATCACAGTTGCTAAGAGAGGTCACATGACTTGCCACCAGCACTAACTGACAGAAGCAAAACAGTTTCCATGTGGCTCTTCTGGCTCCCATAGGATCTCACTCAGGTATTATTGCTAATCCTACAGAATGATCTTTCATTTTTCACTTGTACTGTCCTCATTCCCTCCTCCTAAACATATGGCTTCCTTTGACAACTTAACCTCCTTGATAAGTTCAAAGTTCAGCAATATTGAGGTCACACCCTCTCACCATTCACGCCCCTGCCACACATACACACACACACACACACACACACAGAGACCTACACCCGCAGCCCTGACTTCTCCCTTCAACTTTGAACCCTTGTGTCTCCCTAACTGGATGTCACCATCATCTTAACCTCAATATGCCTAAAATCTAAACTCATCTTCCCCCTTCAGCATTCTGTCTGGACTGGTGGCATGCCCCTCATTCCCAGGCTGAAGTAAAAGAAGTCTGGTACAAAAAGTCATGCTTCTCTGAATACTCCTCCATCCTCAAACCCAGACACATTAAAGTCCTGTGGATCCTGCCTTCAGGGCAAACCTTGGGTTTTCTTTCCTTTTAAATCTCATTTCTATCCTACTTAGTCAAGGCCCTCTTCATTTTATATCATGATTATTTTTTAATATTCGATGCAAGTCGACTTATATACCTATGTATGAGAGGTGTAAATATATTGATATAATATGGGGAAGGGTCTCAAAAAATAAGCCCACAACTCACGAGG